GAAGTTTATATAAGTTTTTAAAATAGAAAAGAGATATTTAAGTAAAAGAGGGGAAGTCAATGTATTTTACTTAAAAACATATGAGAATACCTTCATTTTCTCTACTTGTTTTGAGAAATAGACAAAAAAAAAAAGGTAACTTTTCTCTTCTGTTTTTTTAAAACAGATATGAGTAGGGGATCTAAAAAGTGTATTTTGTTTTATTGTTAGAATGGAAACTGATTCATCATGCTATTGGTGAAAAATTTACCATATTTTCATCCAACATCTGTTTTGTAATTATTTTCCCCAACCATGTCCTCGAAATGTTTCGTCAAGGAGGGGCTTCAAAACAAGGCCCAAACACAACACGGGTAAAGATAATCCTCTTGGTTTTTTTTTTCTTTCCATGTTTGCAGATCATTTTACTTGGTTGGTTTGCACTTAAACTTGAAACCTACTTACACAAACCAGTGTATTTAATTCATTTTTTCGCTATAAAGACCAAATAAAGAAAACAAGAAACCCAAAATTTACTTCGCTTCCTTTCTTTCTCTTCCCTGTCATATTAAATAGAATGGCTGTCTATAGATATATGAAAAGGACGCATCCCAAATAATCCATACCAGAAAGTGATAAACGGAACAAACTGATATTATAGGCCAGTCAAAGAAACAAGCCATATATTTAATATCAGCAATCTTCATTCTACATACATAACATTTAAAGATTAGGATGATATAACTAGCATTGTTCTCATCATCCACTATTTTACCAAAACAGCACAGATCTTCCCCAAAAAAATGAAAAAAAAAATGCAAGAAATTCAAATTTGCTTCACTTACTTTTGTTTCATACGACAGAAAATGTTTAATATATTATCACGGCAACAACCAAATTATATAAATCCATCACTGAAGAAAAATTAAAACTGAACAATATAACTTCAACATCTACAACATCTACATGTATTAGCCAAGCCAATCAAAAATGCTTATTGGCTCCTCTGTCATGGTACTGTTCATATGAACACTGACAGCTGAAACATTTTTTCCAGCTTATGTTTTTGGGCTCCGTGCATGAGACTTGCTGCACAATAATAATGTCAGCTTTGAATTTCAAATTTTAAAACAGGTTAGTTTAAATTTTTGTCTCTGAAATTTAAATCTATTTTGGTTTTAATTTCTCAAATTTTAAACTCAATTTTAGTTCTTGAAATTTAACCCGTCTTAAAACGTTAGTCCCCATAGGTGTAAAAATGCCGCTCTCTCATTTTTTTACTTCCTCACTGTTCATTTGCAGAAATTATTTACTGTGCCATACTCACTTATCTACACAAAATCCATTTAGGTATCATATGGTAAATTCATATCACCGCTTTTAATGTCATTGATGACGTGCCTGTTTGGATTCACTTAAAAATGACTTATAAGCTGCTTATGGACCAAAAGTCAGTTTATCCACTTTTTGTTGCATTTGGTTTCACTTTTGGCCCATCCTACTTTTAAGCCAAAAGTAGCTTATTTTCTACGATTGGCATAAGCTGATGAAAGCTGCTTTTATGTGCTTATTGGTTGGGAAATAAGAAAGCCAGCGAGGGGTGATGGAGCGAAGGGGGATAGACTGATGGAGAACATCTGGACTAGGAAAAAAAAACGAGTCTTCATATTTCATATATATTATGGCAATTCATTTTTTTATATTTAAAATATTTTTTATGATTTTTCTAAAATTTTAAAATTTAATTCACTCATTAAATGTGACTTCTTCATAATAAATAATTTTAATTTTATTGTATTATGTTAAATCATTTTTTTATCATGTTCCATTATTTATTAAAATTCATACCCATTTTGGTTATTTTACAACCAAACTTATTTTTACTCAATTATAATCCAAACAAGCTTTTACCAATCTCACTTTTGCAAACTAGCTTTTCTGAACTCCAATCCAAACACAATTCAGCTTATATAATTTAGCTTTTACCAACTTCACTTCTCCATAAGCTACTTTTTCAATAAGCTACTTTTCCAATCGCTGATCCAAACGGACCCGACATTTCAACCGATTTTAATACATTTGCTTTGTCAAGGACTAATATTTTAAGACACATGAAATTTGAAAACCATGGATTTGAAATTTAAGAAAACAAAATCAAAATAGGCTCAAATTTCAGAACCAAAACTTCTATTAACCTTTTTGAAACTCTCTCCATTGTTTCATAATCCCTTCTCTCTCATTTCGCTGGTGGGGAAGCATTTTGCATTGAACGTTCTTTCTTTCTTCGTCGTCGTCCTAAAAGAGGGGAGTGGTTTAGCTGTTGTTGTTGGTAGCCGTTGCCGTCATCAGAAAAGTCTTCTTCACTTCTTATTTCGATACCTTCTTCGTTCTCACTGAAGGATTAACTACAAGATGACGGGTTTCATCAAAATGGCTAAATTGACGATTTAGTGGACGAGTTGTTGAAAGTTCAAGTGTATGGTTCGTTGCTGATCATTTTCCTTCTTCTTCTTATCCCTTTCTCACTCACTCATTCACTTTCTTGTCGCCCTCTTATCTCCCATGGATTCCCTCTCCTCTTGCGCTCCAAGCGCATTCACGGCTTGACAGTCTACAATGATGAAGGAAACAGGGTATTCTCATAATCTTTGTGTTAGTACCCAGCATGGAAAGGAGGAGATTCACATGGCTTAGTACCAGAAGGTTTATATCTGATAACTCCCTGCTTCTGGTTTTTTCTTCCAGTTGTCATTTTGATTTATTTCCCAGGCATATTCTTCCTTCTCCTTTGTTTCTATCACTCTCTTCTATAAATTATAATTATATTTTCTTCCGTCCTTAACGCTCTAGATCTATAGATTTTCATTGAAATCAACGGCCACAAGGAGCATGAGCACTGGAAGGTGAAGGGGATTTCGATGCAGAAGTATAGTTGTCGGGATCCAAACTTGAGAATATGGTAATAAACCTTTAGGTCAAGAATCCATAGCTAATGCAAGTATTGGTACGCGGATCTCTAAATTGTTTAAAGATTTGCTAATCTTTTATATTTAAAGTATTTGTTACATCACAGATAATCTGCACACCAATTGGTTTTTTCTTCATAATTGGAATTTATAGATTGCTGCAATTTATGAGTTTTTCATTTTACAGCTTCTTTTTTCCCCCCCAGCTTTTCATTTTACAGCTTTATGTGCCATTTTCATCTTTTATGCGACTCTCCAAGCAGAAGCTAATAAAGTATTAAAATGGATGACTGCTAATATGCCTATTAATCATAGTACTTGGCACGCTTATTCTACTTCACGAAAGCAGCAATTTTTGGGGTCATAGCAGAATCATTGACTACCGTTTTCTATTTAAATGACATATTATTGGCTTCACACATGGTTTTAGTCCATGCTTGATCTATGTGTTTGTAATGGTTTGTAATTATTTCTGAGAAACTGCCTGCTGCATTAAACCATCAGTTCCTTCGGTGCTAGTGTTGTTACTTTCATTGGTGTTGTTCCTTCGGTTCGTGGCCTCCTCTCTCTACAAAGGAGTCTCCTCTGGCTCTCGAGACCCAAGGGATCCAACGGGGCCTTACACCGTTAGACCAACTCTTTATTGGTCTAATGCTTTGTAATTATGTTATACACTTAAATGAAATATCAATTAATTGTTATACATGCAGCTAGTGGGTTTTGCTGGTGTTGTCACTGTTATTGTCGCTGTTCTACGGCTTGTTTTATATGGCTTGGTTTTTTGTAATTTATTTATGCTATGGATGGGGTCAGCATCAAGAAAGGGAAAACATGCAATCTCCAATGTCCTATCATGTGTTCCAGGAATTGTTTTTCCCCAGGAAGATCTGTTAATAAATATATGCCTTCACATGATATGGTGATAACAAAGCTGGGTGTTGGTTATTACCCTCAGTACAATTTTATCACTACAACCTTCTCTGCTTGCCCAGTAATCGGTATTGTTCACTTTACTGAAGGCTTTTTCGAAGCAAGATTTCTTTGGTCATGCAGGTTACCATGCTTGGCAACCTTTTATCGTTGGATGAATAAAATAGGGAAGCAGCAGAACACGTTATTACTTATACATTGGCGCTTCAAATTTTAAGGATATCAATCAATCATCATCAATCAACTAACTGTCAACTATCAATCATCAACTATACTTATAGAATTTTATAATACCCAATTTGTTTAAAAATAAATAAGGTATGACATTATAAGATCTGAATATATTTAATTAATAAGATTTGGATAATATTTTAATTGGAATTTGAATATATTGAATTAAATGGGAAGCATTAAAATTAGAACAATACTTATATCGAATTTCTTTATCCATTATGTCAAGTTCTCCAATTACACATAATCATGTGTCATATTTTTGAAATAATAGAATTTAATAACATTTAATTGTAAATCTACATGAAACAAGAAAAGACATATGGTCATATATAATTAGAGATTTTGACATAATATATATCAGTAACTTGACCTAAGTTTTCTCCTTAAAATTAATTGCGATTTTAATTGGAGGCTCAAATAAAAAATTTATTAATTAATCTTATATTTGAATAATATATTAATATCTTAATTGGGATTTTAATTGGATGGTAATCATTAATTTCAAATTTGAATAATATTTGAAATAGGATTTGAATAATATCTATTAGAAATTCAAATTTAATCAAATATAAGGGGAAGAAATTTCTAGTTTCTTGGAAAATCATGTATATCCATTGGGTCATATTATCATGCATTGCCTGAATTAATCGATTACATAATCAATTATTAATGCATAAATTTCTTAAGATTAACCATTAAGTAAATTTTGCTGCACTAATTACTTGTGTGTGTGTGTGTGTGTGTGTATGAGCAGTATATTTCTTTATGGCGTTTAAACTGAATGTCACATCTGATTGTGCCAAGGTTTGCTTTTGTCCCCACATTGAGTTCACAAAATACATATTAAACCCAGTGAGCAGAAGATCGAAAGATACCAAAACTCAGCATCTCAATCCATATCAGAGCTTATATATAAGTAACTGGATGGATGTAAGTTTGGTCCTTAGTCCATTACAACAGAATCAAGAGATGGTAACAAAAGATGAACAGACTATATACACTGAATATTCCTTAATTTGTGGCATGAAGGGATGCCCCTTTTTATTTATGCAATGGAATTTGCTTGCTTGTAGTAATATTCAGAGAGGGCCCACATGGGGAAGGTGTTTCTATACAGTGGATAATGCAACATGCAATTCCTCATAAATACTCCTGTCAATTCCTAAAAATATATATAAATCACAAATATTAATTAATTTCATATTCATATTTAATTATTTTTGAGTATTAATTAAGTATGAGAGATGGAGAGGAACTCACTTGCTGTGGCCAATCCCCATCTTCTAACTGAGAATTAATTAGGACTTTTGCTGCACGATGAAGAGGAGTTGGGTCTCTCTCTGCCTATATCCAACCAAATAATCAAAAATAGAATACAAAAAAAAAATCTAGGATTCAGAGGTGCTTTTCTTTCATAATTTTAGAAATTTAGTGTAGTATTTTACAATGGAATTAAAACTTGGATTTCTTTTAATCTTTTTTGTCTGACAAATTTTCTACTTCGTTATAAACAGAGCGCTGACAAAAAGCACTTGAAAGGTTGCGTCATGCATGTTCTCTTATGGTCCAGAAATGGATGCCAAATAAGCTTACTTTTTATTTTTTAAAAAAAGAACCAGTTTATGAAGATCACATGCATACCTAATAAAATAAAAAAAATTAACTGAAATTATAAAGATCTCATAAAAAAGAAAATCCTACATGGACGTGAGTAAGAATTAGAGGAATCTATAAAAGTCAGATAAAAAAAATAATTAAGGTGTAATTTTAATACCAAAAGTTTGAACCAAGAGCTTCTAATATCATTTAGTTTTAAAATATACAAAATTAGCCACAATCATCAAAAAAGAGAGCTATTTTGTCACTCTCTTTAAAAGCGGTGGACGTCCTTTCGTTTTTCTTAAGGTGGATCTCACTCTTTTTCTCTCATATCTTCTCTCTCCTCGTTGCTCTTCTTCCTCTTCATCATTTTTCCTCAAACTCCGTCTCCCATTAACACATAAAATCCTAATCACCTGTAAATCAATGAGTTTTGAGTTTTCTGGCTGTCGAGTTCGACAAGCTCATGGACGTAGAGTTCAAGGACCCCATGTGGGTTTGGACCTTACCAGCATGGTTTCAACAGAATGAAGTTGGTGACTTGGGAACAGTTGGAATTGATCTCAACCACTCAACAACATGATAGTAGATTGTCTTGCCACAGCGAGTTCTACAACAGCAAGTAAGGTCTAGGAGCCGTTGTAGGTGTTATGAGAGCAGGTGCTTTCGGTCTAGCTCTATTCATTGGCATATTATTTCAGATGTACTCCCTAATAATGGTGATGGTTTGATAAGCTCTTGGCAATCGTTTGCAGTGAAGTAAAGATAATGGTGACGGTGGGTAGAGATAGAGAGGAATTAATTCCAACGTAAGGAGAAAAGAGAGAGGAGAATTGAAGAGGGAAGTTATTAGAGTGTAGATACAAATTTGTTTCAAAAGTTTTAATTCAGGAGTTTTTGGTACCTAAAAATTTTTTTGAAAGCAAATTTGTCCCAAAAATTTAAAATTATAGCAATATTACCCCCTAATATTAAAAAACTTATATTGACTATTAAAATAGTAATATCGACTGTTAATATTTTTAACAGTATGGGATAATATTAATATGATTTTAAATTTTCAAGATAAACTAGCTCCCAAAAAAATTTTTAGGTACCTAACACTCCTAAGTAAAAACTTTCAGCAAAAATTTACATCGTAACAATTAAATTAATTTGAAGCGATGGCAGCAGCAGGAAGGGAGATAACATTTGAGAGGGGGACGTGTCCAAGAGCATTCTGACAAATTATGGCGGGATACTCGCATAATGGGATCCACCAGAATTAAAAGAGGGGAAAAAATGAGATCAAAGAAGACTGGCCAAGGGACAACGAGTGGACCCACCGTCAGAAAAAGAAGCGGTGGCTTTGAATAGGAGGGGCAAAATTGTTCTCTTTTTTAGTAGTTATCGCCAATCTTGCACCATTTAAAACTAAATAGTACCAGAGATGTTCTTAAGGTATAATTTTGTTGTTAAAAGTATCTCTTAATCCGAGAAAAAAAAGGATCTATATGAAAATTATGTGAAACTATTGGAACTTGCATATTAATTGTTTGAAAAGGGAAAAAAAATTGAAAAGAAGCCTAATCCAAAATAAGCTGCACATGTGGATGCTATGAACTGATCACATAGACAAAATGGTTTTAGAAAAAGTTTGATGACCTACTTGGCCAGAGTAATTAAGACCCATCATAGCCCATGCTGTTTGAACCACATTTGAACGGCTTCCTTCAAGCGGTACATACTTCTGCATTATCCATCAAACTAATTAATTAGTATTAGAAAAAAAAGAGTAATAATATTGAACTCAAAGAGGTATTAATTAATCCACCTTCTTAGGGCATGAAAGATAGCTCTCTCCCCACCCACCATCTTCTCTTTGTGTCGAGAGAAGGAAGTCGGCAGCTTTACGAATGGAAGCACAAGTTTGATAAGTTTTGCCAGCTGCAACAAGCCCACCAAGTGCAAACATTGTTCCATAAATGAAGCAAACTCCCCAGTTTCCATACCAGCAACCATCTTCTGTCTGAGTTTCTTCTATGTATCTCACAGCATTTTCAATGAAATTCTCAATCTCTTTGTTTCTGTGCATTGGATATAGCTCTTTAAACACAACTAAGGCCTCTATTGCTGCCCCAGTGCACTCAACATATTCATGCTCCACTACCACGTTCTCCAAAAATTCAATTGGATTCAATACCTGCTCCCAGAAACAAGGAGTCAATGCATCAATAACAGTCTTTTTTTTTTTTTTTGGAGTCCAAAACATTTTTAGTTCACTTCAAATGTTAATAAAGTATAACAGACTTGGGTTAGGTATAGCTAAAAGAGGTTTGTTCATCAAAATGTGGTTTGAATCTCTGTTGGGAGACGCATGCATATTTAGCATCTGACTGTATCTTGAGTAAGCTTGCAATAAAAGAATATCTGTGCTTACTAAAAAAACAAATACTGATAAAGCGCAATTCTTACTTCTAACCAATCCTGACCTCTGATCGGTTCCCAAGATGCTAAACCACCATTTTTGCTCTTCGAATATTAACACAAAAGTGTCCATAAGTTAACACATGATCATATCAAATTGAATATTCATTAGCTAATTCAAACAGATAAACAAAAAAACAAAAAACTCACCTGAAAAGATAATAATACGTTAATAGCAGCAAACAAGCTTTCAAGTTCTATCTTTTCACCCACAACCTCTGGAGGTAGCTTTGACAATAGAAGACAACACTAAAACAACGAAAGCATATGACAACATGAATTATACTAATGTCAAGTCAAGTTTATTACGTTCACATGCATAACTAATAAGTATTTCTCTAGCAACCAACAAGCTATTAGTTGAGGTGGTAAGTGATTTCATCCTATAAGAAAGATAACATAAGTTCGAATCCCGAAAAGAGTACTTGTTGGAAAAACTTTAATCTTAGTGCTCCCACTCCCACTCCCAGTCCCATAAAGATTACTTTCAGGCCCAAAGTAGCTTGAGGATAATCTAAGTTATACCAAGAAAAAAATAAAATAAGTATCACTAGAGCAAGTCACCTTCAAAGCTTCGGCTGTGCAATCTGAACCCTGCACTCCTTGGTCTTGATCAGAGAAAGTCCATGACCCTTTAGAAATATGACGATACATACTCTTAAAGTCACCAGAAGGGTTATTATTAACCTGTTCAAGTTTTAATTCACATTAAAAAAAAAAAATACAACACACATGCGGTTGTGTAGACACATACATAAACATCTCCCTAGACGAATACGAAGTCAATAAATAGGTTTTCCCATAGGGACAAAACATACTTGGGATTTCTTGAGGAAATAATGTCCTCTTGCAAGTGTAGGAGCAATTTCTTCAACTTGGTTAGTCGCAAGCAAAGCCTGAATCGCTAAGCTAGCATCCCATGTTTGGCTTCCAAAACTCTGCACATGAACATCAAGCCTAGCTAAAACTATTATATTTTACCAAAACATAGTAAATACTATCTCTCATCCTTAATATAAGAGTTACTTGACTAATTTGAGTAGATTAAGGAAGTTTGTTAAGTTAGTTATTTGTGATAAATAAGCATGAGCTTTTCTAGAATACTTTTTCTAATCATATGTATTAATGAGAACTATTATTTTATAGAATATTTAACCTATGCAACTAGGATTACCTTAAAAAAAATGGATAAATATGAAAGACAAAATGAATTGGGAAGTATTATATATGATCAAATTGAAAGTCAAATTAACTCTTATATTAATAATCGAAGGTAGTATTATTCAACTAAACAAATTTTTGTCGAAGTTAAAACTAACTTTGCATCCCACACTCACAAAGATATGTCGAACATAAAAAAAATTAAACTGAGTTTTTAATGATTTAGTTTCTCATAATTGTTATTCCTTAATTTCACCTGCATGGTCATTCCATCTTCTGAAACCCACAAATAATCAGGAACCCTAGCGAGATGCTTTTTGTAAGCTTCTCCATTTGGATCCTCAGCCCAACAAGCAATCATACATAGAGACTGCATGTGATAGCAGGTATAAAAGGACATTTTTAAATGTTAGAATTTTACTATTTCCAATGTTAAAATAACTCGTTTAATTTGACGATGGTGTTTATTACTATGGAAATGATACCTTTACCACACATCCAGCAGTGATGTATCGAGTATTGTCATCTTCATAATGAATATGCTTTATTGCTTTTTGAAGAGCCTTCTCTCTGATCAATTTGTTGAAAGGCCAACGAACAAGAAGTGGCTCGGTTAATATATATAAGCTATCCCATATGAGATCTTGTACCAAGGGATGTGGAGAGTAAATATCCTCCTATAATATATATAAACAACCTACTCATTAGTTGTTCCACAACAATGAAAAATCAACAATCTGCATTATAAAAAAAATGACTTTTAGTAACGACTTCTTTGTCGTTACTGAAAGGGTCTTCAATGATAACTTCTTTGTCACACTAAAAGGTCTTTCAGCAGTGATAAAATGATAATTTCAGCAACTACTCGCTTTGTTGCTGTTGATAAGTTTCAGCAACAATTGCTACAACAACGACTTGATGATGATTTTTTTTATTGTTGAAAGTCAATTTTTTTATAGTGATGTTTAGAGATAGTGCATCATCATTACCTGGGCACAAAGGTGGCGAGCTTTATTCCAATCAATTTGATGGTAAGGTTGAACATAAAGCTCTTTTCTCAATTGAAGAATAAGTGGTGTGACTGGACCCACAAACCTTTTTCCATACAAGTAAGACATAGGTATGTAGACTGATCGACAATAAAACCACATTTTAGCTGCATTCATTGATCAAAGTAAAGAAGATCATTAAACAAACTAACTTATTTATATGGAGCTTTTCCAATATATGGTCCAAGACTATAACTAACTAGATGAAATACCTGGATGCATAGGAAGAAATGAAGGCAAAAGCCAAAACTCAGGAGGCATTGGGTTGATTCCAGCCCATTCAAATACCCCAAGTATCTGTATAGTATCATATCAATAATAAATTAGAGAATGAGAATACGTTAAGCAAATGATAAATCAAAAGTGTTTATGATAAGAGCTGGCGCAAAGAAGACTATGAATTGCTTTATACGTAGGCCTAATCCTAAATTAGCCTCTGTTGCAAAAATGTGCAATAAAGGAGACATACAGCAAGCCAAGTCTTTCCCCAAGAGGGAATGTAGGTGACACCACCACGATCATGAATCCAGCTTCGAGCTCTAACACAAGCATCGTCATCACCTCCAAGGATGCGAATGCATATGTAGCTTAGTGCTGTGCAGAACATGGTGCTGTGACCCTCAATATGAAGTCCCCACCCTCCATCTTCATTCTTCAATCCCATTCATGTATATACCCAACAATTAATGCTCACATCATTAACTATATATTCATTATTCGTTTCATTTCACATCTTAATTCAACTGAATTAATCAAATGAATTTGAAACCTCATCACCTGGTGATTGTACAAGTAACGTAGAATCTCTTTCTGATGCTCTTTTGTAAACACGGTTTCAATTTGCCCCGTAATATACAAGCAAAATACCTGCAGCAGCATGATCCATAGTTAATATGCAAGAAATTATGCAGTATTTCATGAAGAGTTGAGATGATTTAATAGAAATGCTAAAAGCACAAACATACACACACACACACCAAGGGTTGGATATAGAAGAGAGGTCCAGCAATTTGAGCAGGCCAGTGGCCATCCTTAGATTGCAATGCACACAAATAATGAGCTGCTCTTTTCACAGTGTTCATAACTTTCTCAGATGTTATTTCCTCTTCTTCTTTGATCTTCACAGGTGGTATCTTTTGCTGGAAATTCTTCTCTCTCAAAAACTACATCGCATGTCAACAAACCACTATGACGATTAATAATGGAGCAGAAAAACGAATTGATATCAGATTATGGTTAACAATAGTCTCTTGGGCTTTATCTATTGGGAATTGCTGATGAATTATTTGCTGCCTTAACAATATCATAAAAACATTAGATTGAGAGAGAAATTTCTTATTCTTCCTATTCTTCCCCCTAGTGGTGTTTGGGCATCAAAAAAAAAAAAAATTTTAAAAGTATTTTCATGCAAGTTGAAACAAAACTCTTTACACATATTAAGATTGTGTTTGGATGTCCACTTGTTTGTAGTGGCAACTGTGTCTAGCAAAATGTAAAACACACATTGATAGCTTATATGAAGAAGTCTAATTGTTTGACACAGCGTTTTTGCAAATGAACTTTTTGTTTCATCGTACATTGCAAATGAAGCTACATTTTGCTCCGTTAGACTTAGAAGTAAAAATCCATTACCAACGTAGAGAGAGAAGGACAACAGTGATGAAAAGACAAAAGGCTACCTTGTATTATTGGCAAAAAAAAAAAAAGAAGATAAAATCACTTTTAAAAAAAAAAACCTAATAACTTGATGATTTGCAAAAGTATCGTAGGAAAAAAAACAACTAATAAAATTTAATGATGAGGGTATACTATAAATCCAATATAATTCATATGTATCACTAATTTTTAATTTAGCTCTAAAAATCTGCAAAAAGAATAAAATAATATTCAATAGCTGTATATACAAAAATTATGTTAAATACATCTAATTATGCATTTTTTACTATTTATAATTTTTCTTATAATACGTCAATTCTTTATTTTTATACATTTAATTTTAATATTTTTCTTAAATTTGTTAGATTATATACATTATATACATAAAATAAGACTCATACCTTTTTTACTCATTTTATATCTAAACTTATTTTTTAATTATTTATGTAAACAAGTTCTAATTTATCAAACTGACTTTGCATAAATGCCCATTTATATATAAATCACATTATACTAATTGGCTTTTACTTCAACTCACGTTTATAAAGTCAAATGATGTAAAAGTCAGTTTTACTATTACTAATCCAAACACACCTTTAGTTTGTGTATCATAAAATTATTTTTAAAATCATAATTTAGTTTTCATCCAAATACCAAGTTCAAATGATGATAGCAGTTGCCACTTATGTGTTACCCTCCGCCCCTTAATTTTGGGGCTCTTTCCCATTTTTTTTTTTTTTTTGCGGTTCTTTTTACTATTAGATTTTATATAAAATTAATGATATCTTAATATCTTGTTTTAAAAAAAAAAAGGTTTAGTTTTTTATTTTTTATGATTTTTTAAAGATTTAACACTTTAAATGGTTTGATTTCTTTTTAACTTAGAGTATTAAATATTTAAAAAATCATAAAAAAATTGAAAACTAAGTTATTTTTTTAAATCAGATATTAAAATGTTACTTATTTTATTTAGAATATAATAATAAAAAAACAGAAAAAAAAATTGAGAAGAGCCCCAAAATTAAAATTAAAATTAAAAGGCAACCTGTGGACAACACACAAGAGGCAGCTGACATCCCAGCCCGTGGAGGAATGATTACTAGTAGTAGTAAAGGAGAAGCTGCCTAGGAAGATTAATCAAACAGACATATATGGAGCCAACTCAAAAGGAGATGAAGTAGAATATAGTAGAAATACAATAAAGATTAAACCTGAAATCGCCATAGGAGATCACCACAGGCTTTGAAAATGGAGCGATTAGAGGAGAAGTTATGACGAGCAGCTTCAACTTCATCTCTCTCCTGCTGGCTTCCATCTTCTCCATGAAACTCCCATGTCTGCCTCCCCACGAAGTTATTTGTGCTGAGTAAGTATGGATCTTTCCCTGATCCTTCTCCAATCTTCAACCTCCACATCTTCAAAGTTCAGATCGCTTGCCTTTCTTCCACCTTTACACACACCCCTCTTTATAACACAGAAGTATAAGAGATTGATGGAGTTTTTTTTATTAAAAAAAAAGGATTAGACTGTTCACGAGCACACGAGGAGTTATTTCTATCTGATCAATGATTGATGAAATCAGCAGATTATCTTGTACGATACGCAGCTAACATGTGTGGTCAGCTTCATGGCCATTGACAACGAAATGGTATTCCATTGCACGATTTTACGGTATCCCAAAAAAAAAGAGTTAGATTGATTGAATTAGATCCAAACAGAGCAACCAGCCAATAATTAAGAAGTAGGTGTAGCCAAATGGGCCAATCTCTCATAATGTGGTGACGCAAAATTTGAATGCCTTATTGGGTGAAGTACCCACACGAGAAACCTATATTTAATGTCCGACAATATTTCTATTTCAATTGCCTTTAATAAAATTATACTTATGCGTAAAAAAAAAAATCCAAACAGAGTCGTTTTCATTGTCAAGATTTAACACTTTCCGTGTCCAAACTTTCCGTGTCCAAACAGGGATTGAACCTCTACTGCTTAACCACACACTCTTAATTAAGTGTTAGCTTTTATAAATATATAGAACACACACACATATATAAATTTTGTTGACTACAAGATTTAAAATTCAGAGATCAATCAGGCAAGAGAAAGAAAAAATTCAGATATCAATCAACAAGATTATTTAATCTTCAAGGCAAAAACGTGATCCAAATATTAATGCGCGAAACTACGCACGTCACTATCGGACACTTACATATAACTGACAATATCTAAAATTTAGAAATTGACAAGATTATTTTCAAATGCAAAAACTTTACCCAAAATGGCAAAAGTATTATATTACCACGTGAAATGACAGATTGGTCATTGGATGTCAATTTGGGATTTCACAATCTGGGTCAAATAGATTAAACCTGAAATCGCCATAGGAGATCCCCATAGGCTTTGAACTGGAGTGATTAGAGAAGTTATGACGAGCAGCTTCAACTTCATCTCTCTCATGCTGGCTTCCATCTTCTCCATGAAACTCCCATGTCTGCCTCCCCATGAAGTTATTTGTGCTGAGTAAGTATGGATCTTTCCCTGATCCTTCTCCAATCTTCAACCTCCACATCTTCAAAGTTCAGATCGCTTGCCTTTCTTCGGAACTTACACACACCCCTCTTTATAACACAGAAGTATAAGAGATTGATTGAGGTTCTTTTAAAAAAGAAAAAAAAAAGAAAAAAAGATTGGACTCTTCACGAGGACACGAGGAGTTATTTCTATCTGATCAATTATTGATGAAACCAGCAGATTATCTTGTACGATACGCAGCTGACGTGTGGTCAGCTTCATGACCATTGACAACGAAATGGTATTCCATTGCACGATTTTACAGTATCCCAAAAAAGAAGAAGAAAGAGTTGGATTGATTGAATTAAATCCAAACAGAGTTGTCAGCTTGAGTTAGGTCTAGCGAAAATAACTAATCATTTATAACGTGGCCACTTAAAATTCAAATGCCTGGAAGTGTCCACATGATAAGTTTATATTTAATACCTGATAATATTTCGAATAGCATTACTTTCAATAAAAGTATACTTATGTGTAAAAAAAAAATCCAAACGGGGCGGTTTTCATTGTTGAGATCCATTAATATCCATGTCTATAATTAAAAACAATATAAAAAGATACAGCTAATAATATAATATGGAGCCTACCAAAGTTGAGTAGAAGAAAGTAGTGTTAGCTTTTATAAATATATAGCATACACACACACATATATAGATTTTGTTGAGTACAAGATTTAAAATTCAGATATCAATGGCAAAAGAAAATTATTCAGGTATCAATCGACAAGATTATTAATCTTCAAGGCAAAAACATGATCCAAAAATTAAGGGCGAAACTACATATATCCCTATCGGACACTCACATATAACTGACAATATTTAAAATTTAGAAATTGACAAGATTATTTTCAAATGCAAAAACTTGACCCAAAAATTAAGGAAAAAAATGACAGGAAAAATACCTAATTAAATTTTAAAATGCCAAAAGACTATGTGAAATGACAAATTGGTCATTGGATGTCAATTTGGGATATCACAATTTGGATAAAAAAAGAACTACATGCCCACGAGTCTTTTTTTTTTTAAAAAAAAAGGCCTAAGCCACCCATGCTAGAGATCCTGTAGCCAGCTGCTGGAATTCCATATCTTGTAAGGTATTGATTATTATTGTTAAGTTATTTATTATTTTAATTTTTAAAATTTTGATGACTACTTTTATAAAAGTATTGACTAATATTGTTAATATATTTACTACTTTTATTTATAGATTCCCATGACTACTCTTGTTAATCCATTAACTAATCTTATTAATCTATTGATTCCTCTAGTTATAGATAAGATTAAATAAAGCTACAAACATTTGACAATTTTCAAATCTAGAAAACATTTTCAAAGGGAAACAATTAACAGAATGATCTAACTGCTGCTGAGTTCGTTTACATCAAAAATGTTGAAACAAAACACATCTGCAAACTACTAAATAAGATATATAGGATCAAGGCTCTTCAACTTGGCGATTATCCAAAGGTTCTAGGCTTTCACAATAATTGAAAATATCATCATCTGGGAACAACCTGCCAGTAGGAAACATCTTCAATTCATTAGTAGTGAGATTGAATAGATATAAAAAAGTTGCAGGTTCATCCTTCATCTCCTCACGATTAGTTCCAGGAAAGAGTTCATCAGGCTTTACGACATTGCAGACAATTTGACTTCTCCAAATAGTCAACGGAGATAAGAAACATGGAAAAATGTCACTGGTATATTTCTTGTTCCAAGTCCACATTCCCTTTGATGATAAACCTGTTTCCTCTTCCATCACCCACAAATCAATAAAAGATTTGAAATTTTCACTTACAGTTGAAACTAGAAGAGCAGGTTTCCGCTCATACACAGTAAGCCTAGGAGAGTCCGATACAGGAATTTGAATAAGTGCAAATACTTCCATTGCTATGTTAAATGAAACTATCATATGAGCATCATCGTCTCCATCGTCACCCTTCATCATCTGCTTTGAGGCCAACCAAAAGATGACTCCATTAACAGTTATACTTTCGAGCCTGAGACTTATGCCCTCTAATAAGTTCTCATCAAATTCTATTTCCTTCCATGATCCTACACTCAAAGAATACACTTCCACTCGTTTCACCTCGCGAGAAAAATGAGTCCCATAATTTATCACAATCTGGTAATCATAAAGAATAGGGTTGAATCCAAATCCAACAAAGAAAAGACCATCAAAATCAGTAAGAGGTCCGGGCACCTGTCTAACCTCACTAGCTGCCGGATTCCATAATAAAAAGGAAGGAGGAGATGTAAGAGAAGGATCGATTCGAAAACAGAGCAAGCCATTGCAGGAACTGACCAGTCTATCCCTGACCCATTCGATCACAGGAACGTTCTGAACTTCAACAAGTTGTTGCATACTGCAATCCAGCAAATCAAAGAGCGTATGATCTCCATTAAATCGGGTGAAAAGAAGAAAAGGGTTTTGATTCTGGGAGTGGTGGAGGTGGGCTGATATGAAAGATGGGGTTTTGAGGAGATTTTTCCAATCTTTGCACACACATCGAAATCGGATTGGGAATTTCACAGGAAGTCGTTTGAGAATGTTTGTGATGATATCTCGGGGAAGAAATGGTACGTGGCTATCCATTGTAATCTGCTTCATTGTGCTTCACTATGAACAATGAATCTCACAAAGGAAAAGATGACTCTTAAATCGGGACAAACTCTTTTATATATTTATCTCGTATTTAGTAAAAACACTTCTAAACTATAGTTTTGATCTTATCCAAACACTCCCTCAATCAACGTAGAACCGTTACTCCATTAAGGATTATATAAGAAATGTGATGGGTTGAACCTACAAAGAAGGAAGCCGTCGCACTTCCAAAGATAACGGTTGGGTCGTGGATTGTTGGCTTTGCACGTACGTAATATTGGGCAGTTGCAAAGTGCAGTGGGATTTTCTTTACCCTTTTTAAACAAAAAAAAATGAATTAATACTTTATTGGCTTTAAAATTTACTCGAAAGATCTTAAAAAGGAAAAATTGGTTAAAAAAAATACCTGCTTGAAAATTTAATTAACTAAAAATACTTGAATTTGAGTGCATACGTATATAATCCATGAGTGTAACATATCTTTCGCTACATGCAAATTACTTCTGTATTGATGATTGTTACACACAGCAGAAGATATATTGCATTCACGGATCATAATTATACTAATTCAAATTTATATCGTTTTAGCCAAATAAATTTCCAAACAGGAATTTTTTACCGATTTATATAAACTTGATATAAAATAAAAAAATTTTAATTACATTCATCCAAGAGAGGATGAATTTAAAAAAACATATAAAATGTATTTTTCCAATTTCTAATATAAGATTAAAATTATTATTTAGATTTAAAAAATATGATGGATACTGATTTTGTTTTTTTTTAAACTAAACTTCAGCCAATTGCTCTCATACCCGGTTTATCGCAAATTGCAATGGCTAGTTCTTTGGAACTCTGTTCTTATTCGTCATATGATCTCAAACACTTGAATCAACAGTGCAGTAAGGTATTTTCTCTGCTGGAGCATGAAGAGCATTTAAAAGATTACCCTTTCAGACGTTAGTTCCAGTGGCAACATTAGAAGCGGATGATCAGCTTTTGAGGTCACTCCACTTGTAATTTGCTGAATAAGGTCATAGAAAGCCTATTTAGAATGACTTATAAGCAAAATTTCAATCATGATTTATAGAAAGTGAAATAAATATGTGAAAAAAATTTTATCTCGACTTACGTAAAACGTGTTTATAAGTATTTTAAATGTAATTCCAAACCGGGTCTTAGAAGCTAGGTTTCCAGAGTTATGAATGGATGCTTCAATGTGCAGGGTTGAGAAAACAGAGAAAACCATTCAACTATGAACGGATACTTCAATGTGCTTTCAAAGTTATGTGCACTGCTAATTATATCTTAGAACTATGGTGTATTTAACATGGCGTCCCTAGGAGCTAGGACATCAACATTAAACCCGGAAAAAAAAATGAAGGTGGGAATTCTGGAAAATGCTCTGTTCTGGAGCCTCTTCCTTCATCTTCTTTTCAAGAAAAAGATCCAAAATTTGGAATCAACGTTATGCAATCCTGAGAGATCCCACATACCCCATCATTTTCCTCAGAAGACTCCAATCAGATAAATCCCAGAATTCAGCTGCTGGCCTTCCATCCATGCATTGACACATTAGATTTATTAATATTGGAGATTGAGTCTTCGATACAAAGATGACTCAAAAGAACTGGAAAAATATACACATACATATACCCACAACCAACTCAACAGGGGCTAATATGCGTGGGTTCATTTCCACTAAAAGTTTGCCTAAATAGAATAGATAATGTAAAATGGGTCAACGCACTCCAATATATTTGAAATCATTCGCATATTGGCTAAATTAAAATCTCAAATAATTGATAAGCTTGAAAATCTCAAATAACATTATAAAAAAGTCAAACATGGCAAGAAGATATTAGCATTCTTCAAATATGGATGTTGCCGAGCAGTACAAGGCTTTCCAAATAATCAAAAATCTGACCATAATATCTCCATTTTGGGATAGAAAACATGTTGAATTCATCAGTAGTGAGATTGCACAAAACAACGTTTCCTTCATAATTCTACGGTTCACCTCCAAATGGGTATTCAACTCGGAAGACACTGCAAACAATTTCATTTCTCCAAATAATCTGAGGAATAATACTAAACGTAAATGGATTGGGCCTGCTAGTATACATTTTAGTCCAATTCCATCTCTCCCTGCATGGATCTGTACACTCCTCCAGCACCCATAAATCAATCAAATATGAGTCAGAATTTTCAATCACAGTAGGAGAAAGCAGAGCCAGTTTGTTCTGAGACATAGTAGGGCTATGGAAACATGATTGAGAGGCAGAAGTCATAGGAGGAAATGATATCAATGTGAACAGTTCCATTGCTATGTCAAATGAAACTATTTTTCTGTCCTCCTCCACACCTTCCTTCATCCCAACCCAAAAGATAGCTCCATTACAATTGAAAGCGCTAGGATGGCTAACACGGACACCCTTTAAGTTCCCGGGTTCAACTTTTGTCCATAACCCTGTCCCTAATGCATACACTTCCACTTGAGCAACCAAAAAATCAGACGTAAAAAGTTTCACCATCTTGTAATCATTGATGATTGAGCTGAACCCAAATCCTACAGAAAAGGACTCACCCTCATAGTTGTTAAGAGATTTTGGCACTTGCTGGACCTTTCTAATGGCTGGATTCCACAACCAGAGGGAGCGTTGAGATTCACTAAAGAGTTCGACGCAAAACAAGCCATTACTAGAATAAACGGCAGCCCCGTAAGCCGTTAAGGAATCATTGATATGTGGGCTCTGAAATTCAAGAACTATGTGAGATATTTTATTATGATCATTAATTATTTAGTTATTTAATTAGGAATTAATAAAATGTCCTAAGAGTGGCCCATGGTCAGATAAGACCCAAACCCAGCAGGGTTATTATTACTTTTAGTCAATATTATATTTCTCTAATGGTGAGAAAATAAATTATCGTGTTTTGACGGCTGAAAGTTGATAGAGCAATACATTTAGAAACAGAAAACACCATCTACTCCCTGAGGTTCCCTGACTGGTGACGGCTGAACCCGGTTGCCATCACTGTGCCTATCTGCCAGTCAGAAGAGACCTGAATCAATTCTCTTCTGGTTCTAATCTATCTTGCAGTTCTCAAATTAATTAAGTAATAGCTATGGCAAGAGGCAACTCTAATCTTAAATTCTTTCGCTGTATATTTTATAAGAGGATTCATTTTGTATTATCTGGATTGAATATATTTTATATATATTATTTTGAATCTATCTCACACGTGGCATCGGAGCCTGGTTAGATTATACTCTGACTAATTTTATTTATTTAACACGTTTTGTTTTTATCTGGGACAATCTGACTTTATATGAAATTTACCATTGTATTTTTTTATCAGTTCCATAAGTCAAATCAGAGATAACTAAACCATAATTTATTTTCAAACTAGTTATTGTTTTTAATACATGCAAAATTTCGGATGAATGGGACATTAGGAGATGAACGATTGTTCCTCCAATGATTGCCATCACCAACTCCGTTAACATCAGGAATCCGAAATCACTGTGGTTTTTCCTTTCTTCTTTTGAGCCCAAATTGATCTACGTTTTGGCTATCTTTTTCCATTGAAATATGTTTGAATTGGTTGCTTTCATGTTTTTGGACATTGTACTACCAAAACCGCCACCCAAAACGCTGGAAAACGGTGTCTTTGTCGTCGGAAATGGACTAGAGCCACTGGAAAAAATGGAAGAATTCAACGGCTGTGAAGGACCACCGAATCGGGTCGCAACTGTCTGTCAGGTAGGTCAACTTGCCTCATTGAGGAGAAAGCAGAAACAGTGCGTTTTGGCCTATGCCAAAATGACACTATTTCATGCATACAGGAAGGCTCCTGTTGCCGATTCAAAACGGCGTCATTTTAGGCCACAGTGAAACGCACCGTTTCACTTATTCAGGTAATGGGCCGAACAACTTTGGGCCGTGATTTGGGTTTTAAGAAACAAAAATTTTATTTAATTCTATTTGGGCTGAAAGGTTTCTGGGCTTCTGTTTATTTTTTTTTTAATTTTGAAGTGGGCCAAGGATTTGAGCTTTTTTGTGTAGAAATAAGTTTTTTTTTCTTTTCTCTATTTGCTGTCTAGGCCACACTATTTTGTTAAAAAAAAATCAGTGCACAGTGACGTAACATAGTTGTTTGGGCCTCGGTTTGGGCCGTTTTTTCACAGAGATTAGTTTTGGCCTTTGTTTACTTTCTAGGCTTCTGTTTGGGCCTAAACAATGTTGGTTTTGTTGTTTCTAGAATTTGTTTTGGGTTCTGTTTGATTAAGCTCTTGTTTGTCCTATTTAATTTAGTTTTCAAAATCTGTTTATGTTAAATGAGCCATTAATTGAAAACTGTTCAATTATTTAAAAATAGTTTCCACATGTAATTTATTTTATGCATATATTTAAATTGTTTAAATAGAAATAAACATTGATCTTAGCTATTTGACATTTCTGTGTAAATTTGCAAAATTGTTTGTTGTATTGTTTATTTGCCTAAATATTTGGACAATAGAATTTAGGCAAATTACTTAATTATTTGAATTTTGCAATGTTTATTTTAAGTTGGATTATGCTGAGATTAATGTTTAAACAATTGTTTGGATACATGAAATAGTGGGAGGACTTAATATAATAATTAATTGCTTGTGTTCTCCATTAATATTGTGCGTGTTGGATTAAACGTGCTCATTTGATATTTGTGATTAGCATGTTTTCTTAAGAAGTAGCCACAGCATCCTTTATCTGTTGCATGCAACATAAATCACATAATGAACTTATAAAATATCAATTGTAATTAAATATGCATTCATAATTAATCTTTGCCTATAGGTAGATAATTATAAATGTATATTTAATTAGGGTGGGATAGAATTGCCATGTATTTTCTAAGTGACCCACAAGTATTAGGAAATATAAATGCGTTCTACTTCCATCAATATGAGATAAATACATGCTATGCTAATTTCTTCGCCCACAGGTAGAACTTAGTGATACGTATTTATAATTGTATGCTTTATTAATGTTTTTAAGCATGCATGGCACATTTATTGTGATTGTCTCAACTGATTTGTAAGTTTGATGATTCTTTGATATTGCAGCTTCATTTTCTGTCCCTAACTTGATTATTGATGCTAGTAATAAGATCATACTGGATGGTACTAATTACCCTGATTGGAGGGAAGATATTGCCTTGCAACTTGGTTGCTATAACATGGACTTTGTCTTGGAGACTGACAGGCCTCCCAAACCAGCTAATGACTCGGCTGAAAAGGATTACTGTGAACATTGGGAGAAAACCAACCGCCTTACTCTCTTGATCATTAAAACAAGGATTGCAAGGGGCATTCGGGGAGCAATCCCTAAATGCGAAACTGCTAAAGAATACCTAGAAGCTGTCGATAAACAGTTTAAACCAACAGACAAGCAAATGGGAGGTACCATCATGTCAAAGCTATGTGCTATGAAGCTCACAGGTATTGGTGGAATCAGGTAGCATATTATGAAAATAAGAGATCTATCCTCTCAACTGAAAACCTTCTAGATGGAACCAACTGAGCAATTTCTGGTGTAGTTAATCCTGAACTCCCTTCCTCCACAATTTGATGCCTTTAAGGTGTCTTACAACACACGTAAGGAAAAATGGTCAGTAGATGAACTACTATCCATGTGTGTGCAAGAAGAAACTAGGTTGTTGATAAATGGAAAGGGTGCATCTAAAGAAGCTCATCTAGGAGAAAGTTCTAATAAGGGTGGCAGTAAGAAGGGAAATAAGGATGATAAGAAGAAGAAGAAAAGAATCCTTCTTGTTACTGCCTCAAACAAGAAGGATGTCAAATGCTTCTTCTGCAAGAAGAAGGGGCACATAAAGAATGAGTGCTTCAAAAGGAAAGCATGGCTTGAACGTTAAGGTATGTTTACTTCTCATGTTACTTGAGAATCTCATGCTATTAACGTTGATGATGATGCTTGGTGGATTGATACTGGTTCAATGATCCACATTTCCACAACCATGCAGGGCTTCTTAACAAGCAGGCCACCACGTTCGAGTGAGGAATGGGTTTTATCAGGCAACAGGAACCCAGACCGTGTGGAGTTTGTTGGGACTTATCGCATTTTTTTGAATAATACTCATATGGACCTTTTTGAGACTTTTTACATTCCAACTTACATGAGGAACTTAATTTCCATTTCAAAATTAATTCCGTTGGATTATGGTTTATGTCTTGAAAAGGGCTCTATGTTTTTTAGCAGACATGATGTTAAGATTGCAGACATTGCAATGATTGGTGATTTATTTAAAATTATTCGTGATCCTGTTCAATCCTTTACTATTTCACGTGGTATAAAACATAGTGTCATCAATGAGAATTCTATTAGCTTGTGGCATAGGAGATTGAGACATATCTCCATTGAGAGAATCAAAAGGTTAACTAAGGAGGAAATTCTTCCACCCTTAGACCATTCAGAATGTGGATTGCATAAGGGGAAAGTAGACCAACAAGTCACAAAAGGGAGCTAAAAGAAGTTTTGAATTGCTTGAGATTATACATACCAATATTTGCTGCCCTAATTTAACCGCTCACAATCAAAAGTATTTTATTACCTTTATTGACGATTACTCGTGATATATGTATGTCTACTTGCTTTATAATAAAAGTGAGGCACTAGATGCCTTTAAGGAATACAAAGTAGAAGTAGAAAAACAAATTGGAAAACCAATTAAAATTGTGAGGTCTGATAAAGGTGGTGTATACTATGGTAGGTGCACAAATGAAGGACAAGCACCTAGTCCATTTGTAGACTTTCTTCGAGAGCAAGGTATAGTTGCTCAATATACCATGCCTGGCTCACCAGATATGAATAGTGTAGCTAAAAGAAGAAATAGGACCTTACTGGACATGGTTAGAAACATGATGAGTAGCTCCAAACTTCCAATTTCTTTATGAAAATAAGCACTCAAGATAATCGTATACATATTAAACAGGGTTCCAACAAAGGCAGTACCTAAAACTCCTTTTGAAATCTGGAAAGGTTGGAAACCTAGTTTAAATCATTTGAAAGTATGGGGCTGTCTTGCAGAAGTAAGAGTGTATAACCCACAAGAAAAGAAATTGGACCCTAGAACTATAAGAGCTTACTTTGTAGGCTATGCAGAAAAGTTTAAGGGTTATAAGTTTTATTGTCCTTCGCCTTCAAAACGTTTTGTAGAATCTAGGAATGCTAAGTTTCTTGAGAACGATGTGTTTAGTGGGAGTAATCAAACAAAAGATGATCTATGGAGTAACAGAGTAAACAATACATTGTATTCCCATGGTAATAATCGGTAGATAAATAGGTTACAGAGGGAATCCTCACCGTAATCAATGGGATTTGGAAAATAAAAACAAAAACAGATATTGGAGATATATCCCTTATATGAGCCGAGATATACTCCCCTAATTTTATCTAATAATTACATATATTTACAAGTATAGATAAATACTATATTTACCACACTCCCCCTCAAGTTGGATCATATATACTCATCATGTCCAACTTGCTAACAAATCTTTTGAATGCATCTTCAGCTAGACCTTTTGTGAGAATATCTGCGACTTGTAATCTGGTAAGAACATAAGACAGATTGATAATGCCGTCTTCTACCTTCTCTCTTATGAAGTGTTGATCTATTTCAACATGCTTGGTTCTGCTATGTTGGACTGGATTTAGGGCCATACTTAGGGCTGCCTTATTGTCACAATAAAACTTCAATGGTGAGTTGAATACAAAGTGTGCTTCTTCTGCTACCCTGCGTATCCACAACCTTTCCATAATACCTTGGGCTAACGCCCTTAGCTTAGATTCTGCACTACTCTTTGCCACTACTCTTTGCTTCTGACTTTTCCATGTAACCAGGTTGCCCCAAACGAAGGTACAATAGCCAGAGGTTGACCTACTGTTTTCCTGGTCTCTTGCCCAGTTAGCGTCAGTGTAGATCTCAACTGTTCTATTGTCATTCTTCTTGAAGAATAGACCACGGCCAGGAGTACCTTTAAGGTACCTTAGTATCTTGTAGGCTGCATCCATGTGTTTCTTTTTCGGTGAGTGCATATGCTGACTTGCTACACTTACAGCAAAAGCAATGTCAGGTCTAGTATGTGAGAGATAGATTAATTTTCCAACTAACCTCTGATAGCGCCCCTTATCAGTAGGAGCTTCATCTTTCTCTTGTTTCTTTCTCTTCGCAATTTCTACTTCGGTCTTGGCTGCTTTTTCACTTCTCTTGCACCCCTTTTTGATACTGATAGGTACTTTGCTTGGTTTACACCCAAGCATCCCAGTTTCTTTAAGTAGATCAAGGATGTATTTTCTTTGACATATAGAAATACCCTTTTCTGACCTTGCAACTTCCATACCTAGGAAATACTTCAACTTTCCAAGATCTTTTACTTCAAACTCTTTATTCAAGGCTGCCTTTATTCTGCTCATTTCCTCCACATCA